GTAGCCCTCTGGTACCGGCTCGCGACAGAGAGCACCAGCAATTTTATTTTGCCAATGTTAACTGCATACATTTACCACTAGTTACCCTAAGTGTTTTTCAAGTACAGATTTGAAGAATCATTTCAATAAAAGTCAAAAGAAAGAGGCATTACCTGTTGATGAGGTAAGTAAAATTTGTATTATGTGTGCCATAGTAACAAGATGAAACAGGTGAAGATCTCCAGTGCCAAGACTAACCCCTGAAAAATCCTGACAATGTATGGCAGGGGAAGAGAGCACCAAGCTTACCTGTAAAAGAAAACAAGAAAGCTGGAATACTCCTTTTCTTTTTGAGTCTTGCCATTTTCTCTGTGCATGCTGCAACTAAATTCTTTGAAGGTAGCATACATTACAACACTAATTTAGAAGCTAGTTAGACAGCTATTACTGTAGGGAACAGTGATTATCAGGGGGTTTGGGGGGCTGTTTAGTTCAGGGTGGGGGGCGATTGCTGTTTTGTTTGTGGTTTGTTGTGGGGGAGTTGGTTTTGGGGTTCTTTGTTTTGTTTTTTTTTTTAACATCCAAAGACTATACATTCTGCCTCATGTTACCTCTTTTATACTTACAGATAAAAACAGTTGCAATTTAAATTCACCAAGCAGTGAAAAAACACTAAAAAAATGAAAATTTTGAAAGGTTCCTAACCCAGAGTAAATTTTCCAACAGAACTATTGGATCAGTGGCTATTTGATCAAAACATTATTAATGCATATATTATGGAATACTTACCAATAAATGGAACATGTCAATATCAAGTATGCAAGGAAGATTTCCATTTTTTTCATTAGGCACCAGTGCTGAGTATTTTAGAGAAAAAAATAAATTTATTGAGCATTTATCTATGAAAATATTTTAGTGTACTTCAGTTACAAAATGAGAGCCATCTCCTTGGTTTATATGCTTAAAATATGAATGTACCAGTTCTGGCCAGAAAGATGTAATTTCAAGAGCTGTTCAACATGAAAAGACACTTGCCTACCTGACTATACTGTACTGAAATAAAACCCCAAAGGTACTATAAAAAAGCAAGTGCTGCCATTCACTAACTTCCATAGGAACCTTCTTTCATTACTTAGTTTCCAGCATGAGATAAATGAAGGTAGTATCTCAAGCTCTGACACAGAAATAAGCTCAAGCACTAGTCACTAAATGGAAACACTAATTGTTTGTTGGTCAGCTGTTCAAAGGAAAATTCTACAATTTTCTTAGCTTTACAAGCTTCCCTACATTTCTTTCACACAAGTCGTTTGTCTTACAGACTCAAAATTGCATTGCTAATGAGTCTCGTGAATTAATTATTTTATCTCTCAGTAAGAAAGAACAGGTATTGGTCTCTCCATCTCCTTAGTATTCACATTCACAGTAACCACAAAGAGTTAACCAAAGCACTCCAGATGTCCACAGAATTCCCACAGTTCCTAAATTCCAAGCAAAGGAGTAAACTTCATCTAAAAGCTAACATAACTAAAATGTCTTGAGAATGTTACAATGTATTTAAAACATCAAGAAACAGCTGCAAACTTCTCTTCAAGCAGTAAAATGTGATTTACAATACAAAAGTTTAAGCTGCAGGTATGAGAATCATTTTACAATGTAGCTATTATAAGCATTAAGCTGCCAAGTTTAAAAAAACTACTACAGTAAAATACAGTCTCGTCATAATAATTTAAAAATATTTCAGTTGAAGATTGCTGGCATGCTGGTGAGAAAATCAACAGCTGGAGATCTGTGACATTTTTAAGCTATTTCTATCAGCAAACATGTAGTCACCACTCAAGACTTCAAATGCTTTTACTTTTGTAAATGTATAGACACAGAACTCAACCTAAAAGTCTAAAAAATTCTTCTATCTAAAACGTGACCAGAGCAAGGAACTTCTAAAACCAAACTTATTTTCATTAAGTTATCTTCATGTATAACTAGTTCATAGAATACTGACAGATCAAATGTTTTTCCTTATTCCTAGCCTTGAAAAATAAAGTAACAAACACTTTTCCTTCATAAAAATACAAGGATCCCTCATTGCTTCTGAAAGCTGGAGGGATGAAGAGCTTTTAAGAAACATTGGTTCAAGTTTTCAAGGAAACCCAAACCATGCAGAACACCATATACTTGCAAAGTCCCAAATATCTAGCAACATCTTGTCTTCTGCTTCACACAGAAAATGGCTCAATTATTATTGCTACAAACTTATGTAAATTACGTTCCAACCCCATAAGGCTGTCAACTGTTTGCTGAAGTAGGTGGTATCGATTCTACTAGTCATTTTAGTATCTTAATGTCTTTTTAAAGTTTCCCTGCTCTACTGACTGCAAATGTTAAATTGTCCTGTCTTATAACACCTTTTCAGAATAGTCCTCTCAAGCGTAATCAATGAATCAGGCTGAACTCTAGACTTTTTACCTCTATTTCCAAATGCTACAAGCTTGAAACATTGTGGTTGTTCTCATTAAAATTCTCAACTAACATGGCGTAATAAGTCTTGTCTTATCACAGATCCTACTTTTCAAAGGCAGATAAAAGTTTGCAGATACATTACAGACTTTTGCTACTCTCTATTTCAAATCTTTTCAATTCTGTATCAATCTTTATTTCCTCCTCTTTAAAGTTCCAGCGTTATCGCTTTTGTTTTGGGAAGGACACCATACTTCCTTCACCTTTGCTCTAGGTTCCTTTCTAAAAGCAGCAATATAAACGCTGGGAAAGGTCAACAGAACTCCTTGACAGCAAAATATCCATGCTTCTCTTGAAATGTATCTTGAAATTTCATACCGAAATGCATGTCTTTTTTCTATTTTATGTTGAAATATGTATAAGCACAGATGTGAAAATACCAGCTTCTTGCTCTATTATTTAGAGAACAAGTCATACAAGGAGCGGCTGAGGGAACTGGGGATGTTTAGTGTGGAGGAAGATGAGAGGAGACCTCATTGCCCTCTACAACTACCTGAAAGGAGGTTATAGGGAGATGGGTGTTGGCCTCATCTCCCAGGTAAATAATGACAGGACCAAAGGAAATGGCCTAAAGTTCTAGCAGGGGAGGTTCAGATTGGGTACTGGGAAAAATTTCTATACTGAAAGAAAGGTCAGGCACTGGAACAGCCTGCCCAAGGAGGTTGTGGAGTCACCATCCTTTGAGGTATTCAAGAAACATGTAAATGTGGCACTTCAGGACGTGCTCTAGTGGTTGAGGTTGTGAGGCCTTTTTGTGGGTGTTTTTGGCAGTGTGTGTGTGGTTGTCTTTGCTTTGTTGGGGTTTTTCTTGTGCTGACTGTTGGACTCTGATCTCAGATGTCCTTTCCAACCATGACAATTCTGTGATTCCATGATTACTTAACACCATTTCATAAAACAATCTTCTTTCAACCAGGACTAACAAACATTCTGCAAACATCTTTCTATATTTGTATTTTTGCAAAAAACAGAATAAAGGTGCTGAACTTACATGCTAAGAGAGTACAAAAGTGACCCTGTATAGCCGAAAGAGATGAAACTGTCCAGTGGGCTGCCGCAAATCTTGTTAATGATGTAAGGCAGTCATCCTTTAAATGCAAAGAGAAACAGACACTGACACAGTTAACTAAGTTTCTCAATATAAAAAGATTGTCTGACTTCAGGCATTCTTTTCAGAATAGCTGCAGTTTATGGAAGCAGTTTGAGTGTCATAAGTATATGACAAAGAAGTTCATGTTTATGCAAATACACAAGTTCCCTTCACTATTCTTATTTTGACCGTTACCATGAAAAATCCTGGCCTTACTAAACTATGCGTTTATTTAAAAAACGGTTTTCTAGATTTATTTTTACGTAGATTAAGAATCAGATACAGGCTGACTGGACAGTGGGATCCAACAAAGAAAACTACCACATAACAGTAACTTAAAATTTAGATACTCTGCATTAAAGAAGCATAATTCCCTTTTTTCCACTGACTCAGAGAGGAACTGCTACTTGATCCTTACCTGTCGACAAGGTAAATGACCAAATAATGGTTTCTCTTCATCAGCTAAAATTCTTTCTGGAAAAAACAAAACCCCAAAATATTTCAAAGCCATAAATTTAACTAAATTCTGAAGTTCACATATAAAGGGGCAAAATTAATACATTAGTACCTATAGTTTGTATCGTGTAAGCACAGCTTCCCCAGCACATTATAGGTACACGTGGATCTTCTTCATTTGGATGAACCTTCAAGCCTACTTTGTATGTTGCTGTACCAAAAGTTGTCAACATCTCCTTTATACTCTCGGAATAAGGATTCCTGAAGCAAAGAAGATAATATTACTAATATATTTTTTTCTCCACTGGCAGCATAGTTCTTTTAATGATAAGCATTTACACCACAAACCAACACTTGGATTTTTAAAATTTAAGTGAGAACTCCAGTGTCTTTCTTTGGATCTGATATTCTGTAACTTCCTTTCTGTGACAGATACAGTTCCAATTATTTCTTGATTATTTGACTGGAAACAACCTCATTTTTTAGCATTAAGCACATTCAGTCTTCAAAGACAACTTATAGTTAAGACTAAGTTTAGAAGATTGTGTGAGACTCGTGGCAAAACCTGTCATAAGGTGGGATAGGTGTCCTTCATTTTTGTATGCAGCTGGCAGATAAACATCCGTACCATGTAATCAATTTCAACTACTTTCTCGTGAAGTGAAGAAAAGGTAGATTCAAATACAAACACCCTATAGTAGCTGAAATTACATATTAGTATACTCGACATCTCTTGATGCTTTACTCATTGTGCTGAACTATGATGTGTCCTTCATCCAGTTACATGCAATAGGGGAAAAAAGCTCCATCCTGGTGTTGAAATTTAGACAACAGCAGCATCATCTCTCCACATTCATGCAACATGCCATCTCTGAAATTCTACTGCATTATTTACTACTTGTGCGTTGCACTTCAATACCATGATAACAATAGGATAAACTTTTCTAGTTATGGCAAAATTCATGTTTTCCCCTCAATTAGTGAGACATTATAGCACAGAAATCACATGTTATTATATCCATACTGTTTTCATGTTATTATTTCATGATGATTTAACGATTTATTAAGATGTAAATACATACTTCGGTTTGAAATCTGGTCTAAATCCTTCTGGTAATTGCAGCTGATCCATCTTTTCTGAATTACCAGAATTGCCTGTAAAAACAAGAAGAAATAAAACACCCATTATTCCCCTATATTTAAATTTTATATTATAAAAAGGTGCAAGAACACATAATCAGAAACTGAAAATTTTTTTTTACTTTTGCCACCAACTCTCAACTCCACTGTGGCAGAACCATAATACTTGGGTCTTTTTCAAGAACTGCGGTCATTTAGCCTGGAGAAAAGGAGACTGAGGGGAGACCTTATTGCTCTCTACAGCTGCCTGAAAGGATGTTGTAGCAAGGTGGGGGTTGTTCTCCTCTTCCAAGTAAGAAGTAATGGGTCACGGGAAAAGTTGTGCCAGGAAAGGTTTAGATTGGATATTAAGAAAAAATCTCTTTACTGAAAGGGCAGTCAGGCACTGGAACAGGCTGCCCAGGGCAGTGGTTGAGTCACCATCCCTGGAGGTGTTTAAAAGATGCACAGTCCTGCTGCTTAGGGATATGGTTTAGTGGTGGCCTTGGCAGTGTTAGTTTAATGGTTGGAATGGATGATCTTGAAGCTCTTTTCTGATCTAAATTATTCTATGATTCTCACATACAATTATAAGCATTTCTTCAGACTTACTTGCACAGCCTTCATCTCGAAGTAAATACAGTGCTTTTATTTGCTGGGATATTGTTTTGATCCACTGAGCTAGATTTGGTTGGCCTGAAATGTCTAACCTGTCCAAAAACATATATAACAGAATATACATGTTAGTTAAGAACAAACTATATAGAGAATTAGTATTTCATAGGCATTCCACATGGTTTTGTTTCTCAACAGGCAATTTTGCTGTTACCCACATATTTCACTATCTTTAGTTCTCTTCCTATAGGTCGGACATTTTGCTGTCCTTTCAAACACTAAATTCCATACTATACAATAACCAAGGAAGGCCCATAAACCAGAAGACAGAGGAAGGCAACGCATTTTAGATTACCAAAGCAAAAGGTAATAAACATTTTGAAGGCTTTTTTGGGGGTATAGCTTGTTTTAGGACTTTTTAACATTTATTTATAAAGCAAACAGACCTGTTAAACAAAACTCTTGGTGGAGGAAGCAAAGGAATAACAGTGTTGCTTAAACATTCACAAAGCGGGCAAAGGAATTCACCATTTTCTACATCATAACTTGTGTGTACTCGCAATCTTTGTTGTCTTCGTTGCTCTTTTGCTTGGACAGCATCAAAGTATCTTTAGAAAAGAGCAGAATATTAGAGGCAAAGTATTAAAACCACACATGACTGTACATTAGCTACACAAGAGGATTAATACCACATCTTCAGTGAGCAGTGATATGAAAGACCACAAATGAAAACTGGCCAGGGTTTCAGCCACAGAATCCCTGAGACCTCCTAAAGGTCTTCACACACAAGAAAGAATTTGAAACCAGGCACTTCAGGAGCCATGGACAGGCCCAAAGCAAGGGCCTAATTAATGCCAGAGGCCTGAATGGATTGCATTTGCCATGACATTGGCACCACATAGCACTAAGCGTATTTTTCCTCCTTAAAAAATAAAGAACAAAAATAAATGAAAAAGGTTTTATTAAAAAACCCCAAGAACAAAGGAGGAATTTGAGTTCATTGTTGAAGATGAGTTTGAACTAGGTCACAGATATTTTCAGCTCAAACTAAACTTGATGGAGGAATTGAGAGTGCAAGGGATGCACTGTCATTTAAAACTTCAGTAGAGAGCACAAGAAGCAGCAGGAATATGTCTATTACTGAACTGAAAAAAAAATGAAAAAATAAGATTTCTTGTTGATATACTTGGATCACTGGGAATTACGCATAAAAAACAATCAAAGGGAAGGAAAGCTGACCTGTGAAGCTTTGAATTAATTACATTGTATTAATTTTGCCCTTAAAATCAGTGCCAATAGGCAAACTGATGGCATGATATGCTATTTGGCCTAAAAAAATTAAATAGAGCATTTTACCTTTGCCAACAGTGAGCGTGCATAATATGTCCACAGCTGCCTGTGTGTGTTCCGCATGACAGATCTGGGTGCATGAATAATGGGTCATACTTTTCTGTATTTAAAACAAAACAAAACAACTTTGAGATAAAACATTTATCAAAATACTTAGCTGCTGATAAAATATTACTGCATTTGGATCATTACTAAACTTTAGCACAAAAGCTTATGTCATTTGATAAAGCATAAAATATTGCTAATCCCCAATGATATAAACCGTTCAGTTCATTTACTAGTATTGTGTAATTTTGTTTGGAATGTATGCAGTGTACTTAATCAAACCAAGCTTTCGGAGGCACTGAGGCCTGGTAAAATTTCCTACCATCTACCTGCAGTTTTGGTGGTTTACTATCCTTAAACAATGAGCCTAAGAAAATGAACCTTTAGAGTGAGAGTGCAAAATTATTTGCTACAGAAGTTTTTTGTGTTACATAATAGAATCCAAAGGATCCTTATAATGGTGCCATTGATCAAAAAGCTATCTGTTCCATAAAGTTAACTAAATCCAACCATTTCACATTATCACCACTAAGAGGCCTTTCAGATTATACAACTGAGAGGAAGGAAATGTACATCTTGTGCCTCCTCTCTCTGTAATGTTACAGACATAGTTTAAGAATAAACACTTCCGATTTTGAAAGCTTTTTTTAATAGTTCCAAATAATTTGTCATAAATGGCTGCCAGGACCTTCAGATAATGCACTGCAGTAATTTTACATTATTAGTTAGAAAACACATTTCTACCTCACTTAAAAAAAAAAAAAGGGAGTTTTACCACCAATTACAATTAATTTAATTTCAATTACACAGTTAACATAAGAAGGTAATGTTACTGTCACAAACTGTGATGCCTACAGTGACTCTAATTAATATTAGAAACAATTATGAATACATAATACTTACCAGGGTCTGGAATAGTTTTGTTTCTATTTTTAGACAACACAGTTGATCGCTGAATAAATGCTGCCAAGACCATAGCCCTGCTGTCCACTTTAACCTCTTGCTCCTCCTGACACAATATACACATAACAACCTGTCTGTGTTCAGCTACTCTAGTTTGCTCTGGTCCCAAGGCTGTGAGCTTTGCATCTGAAATTACAGGACTAGAACATTCAAAGAATACTAGTCAGCAAATTATTTGAAAAGCATAACAATCAGATCATTCTTTAAATGAAGTTACTGATTTTTCTTGTTTTATGATAAATGCAGTCTGACAAAAGTAATTTTGGCATTTATACAATATCTACATTCCCAGAAATAGTTATGCAAGACATTTTTTCCAGAAAACATTCATACCCTCCTAGTAGTATTACCCACTCCAATTTAACAGTGAAACAATATCTGCAACTCCACATCATCACATTAAGCACCTGACATAAATTCTGAAAACACTCTTCCCTTTCCCACAAAGTCATTAGCATGCTTCAATTTGTATTTCCAGCTACAAGCAGATTTTCTTTCAGATCCTCAACAGACATAATAAACTATTTCTAATTTACAATGTTTAATACCATAATCTCACTATTATTAACAATTTACTGGATGATTTGATGCAAAAAAAAAATTATTGCTTGTTTATGCTGAGCACTATGAAGATGAGATAAGGGAGGAACAAGTACTTATTACACCATCTTGACAGTAGCAGGGAAGAAAATGTTACTTATCCTGCTCCTTTTTTAGTCTCAAAAACTTTCAAGTAGTTTTTAATCAAGAATAAACAAGGGGCGTTCTTAAGCAGTAACAAGAGGACAACCTGAAGTATAAGGAAAAAAAAGAGTATGAGAATCCTTTACCTGTTTTCATGTACTCCAGAGCTGGAAGTATCTAGCTCTTCCAAAGTCTGCTGAAAGAGTTCTTTGTTTTCATTAATGAAGTGCCGTTGCATCTCAGACATCTGGGCCATGATCTTTTCCCTGCGCAATCTGGCAATCTCAGCTTTTCGCTTCCTCTCAGCTTTGTCTTTATCACGTGAGCTCTGAAATTACCTTGTTCAGTCAGTCATTTCTAATACCTCATTGCAACCATTTATTTTAGCAACTGCAATCCATAACTTGTACTAACATCCAAACAATGAAAATCTCATAAAAAGGCAAAAGAAAAGTCTATCAGAAAGTTATTTAGTGCTCTCTTTTCTTTAGCTCATGCTCTACCTCATACAAGGTAGAACTGCAGATTCAGAAGGGTACTTCTCCTTCAACCTTTAACTATATTTTGCATTCCTCTTCCCTTTGACCATTCATACGATAAACAGCAACAGAACTCTAGTACTGCTCTTCTTCCAGACCAGCTGTATCCCTAAATGCACTATAATGCTCCAACATCTTTGTGTAGTATCTAAATGTCATGTCAAGCTAAATGAATTGGCACAGCTTATCTGTAATGATGTACATGGTGAAAATACATAGATACCATTTCTTTGAACAACTTCCCAAAGAGTCTGAAATTATGGAAAGAGCAAAGTTATCAAATGCTGTGATCACTACTACAAACAGTTCTAAGCAGTAAACTTGCACAAGATTTGGAAACTACAGTATATGAAGCAAAGTAAAATAGTCCAAGGACTCTCCCAATAGGTCTTTCAAACTAATGGGCTTCACTTATAAGCTGAGAGAAGAATTTCAGAAACCACTGATGTTTCCCAACATTGATTCAGAGCTGCAATTAGAATTACAATCCTTTGCTAATCACAACCCAGACCTGTTGGTAACAGCTATCTGTTACAGCTTACTTTTACCTCCTCCATAATATTTCCTTCTGTCTCAGCAACAGGACTTGTAGAAGAGTTTTCTCTTAGTTTCTTAATAGTATTAAAAGTCTGTAAGAAAAAAAACAAACAACATACTAAATTTATTTGTGACACATGAATATAGCTGTGTATACAATAATGCTGGCCAGATAACGCACAGTGTTGGATTCCAGAACAGAGCAAAAAGTAGGTGTACACCAAATCAAGCCAGGAAATAAGATCATCATCAATAAAGGAAGTTCTAAAAATCTTCTTCCAGTGATTTTCAACAGTTATATAAAACAGATTTACCTTCAATATCCATCTGATCATGTCCTTGTGCACTTCCAGATGAGGTGCATTTTGCAGTGTTTCTAGCATAGCTAGTATACTAGGGGAATTATTTGGTGCCTCTCCTGGTCCTGAGAAAAAATTATTAAGATCATTGATTATACTAATACAAAAACAAACAAAACAAACCCCAACAACACACACACACTTCTATATATTCAGTAGCTGAAGAATTCGTTCAACAAATAGGTACAATATTGAAATTCCACTCCTCCCACCCTCCTAAATATTTTCATGACTACCTCTAAATCCTGAAAAGTTAAGAGGAAATATTCTTAGAAGTCTTGCTCACTGGTTTTATTTTCTTACAAGACAAATGTAGTGTATGTGCTCCCTGGCTGTTATCACCTTGGGAGCCTGACACATAGAACTTCCAATATTTTGTTTCCCACCTATTTTAAATGGGGGTCTTAGCAACTCTGGAGGCACTAGTCAGAAGATGCAAAGGAGAGTCAAGATTAAAAAAAACACTCAGGAACACCCCAGTTTTTGCAGTTGTAGCATCTCATCATATACTGCTCTCTTTGTTGAGATGCTAGTTAAAGATATTATGAATCCCATTTACTTGCAATGATTCTACTTCTGGATTTCTCCTCTAGAAAAGACCTTTAGAATTGCTACTACCTAGAATCTACATCTATGTAAAGCAAATACGTACAGTCAACTTGGTAAAATTTTAATAGATAAACAAACACACTCTTCTGGTAAATAGTGTTTCAGAAGAATAAAATATTATATACAAGCGTTTTCAGTTATTTAAAATATGCTACACATTTGAAAAGAAAGGCATACTTGATATTTTCTGAGTGAAGGAAAATGTTACAACATTCTCCTCACTGAGATTCTCTAGATGTTGTTTTTCTTCTTGTAGTGCCATTCCAAGTAGATGTAAAACCTAGGTAAAAAATGATAAATTTTAGTTGTTTTCTTAAATACTTAATATGATCTCTTTATGTAGTTGTCACGGTTCGACTCAGGATCAGCAATTAAACCAGCAAGAACAAGGACAGTAGTTTGGGTTATTAATTAAGAGAGAAGGAACTAGTATAATAAAATGACACAGTAAGAATATATTTGAAGTTATCTCTATATATGTCATTATTACATTACACAGGAGTAACAGTGTTCACAAATCCTTGAAACTTTGACAGATAAAAACCACTTTATACTACTTGTATCCTTCTGTTTGCTGTCCTGCCCAGTCAGTGAGAAGTCAGTGCGTCTTAGCTTTCTCTCTAGCAATTGCATGTTATTGCAAGTGTCTGGAAAGAAGCATGACACACTTCAAATCCTTTATACACACAAAATTTAACTGACAAAGTTAGAACTATTAAACTAAATTTAACACTCCAGAAACACATTTTAAGATGTTAACTTTTAGGTCAGTAAAAAGATGTAATCTTCTTGAACTGAAAAATTGAAATTTCCCTATTGTGCACTACAATAGTCTTAATGGAAATTTAAAGATGAAATACTTAAATCTTGGTGATGAACTCTTGCCATGCTGAATCAATCACACCACACAAACTGGCAGGATGCTCTTAACAAAACGCATAACTGATTGCCTGGAATCAACACTGAAACCCATGTAGGAAAAGATAATCCCCGGAAAATCTCTAGCAGGACTGGAATGCAGTCTAACATACCTAAAATACCTACAGAAAAGTGGTAAAACCTGATTTGCTGAGTCTTGAAGTTTTTTTATATTTCTTTTATTAAGTAAGTCAATTTTTCTTTGGTCTATCATATCTGTCTAATAAGGTCTCGTCAGATATGGGTCATCTTTTCCAGATGTCTGATATCATCAACCTTTGTATGGTGCTTACATGATGAGAGTGGTTGACTTTGAAAAAGATGCAGTTCAACTGCATGGCACCAGTAACTAAAAGCACTGTTTCTGAGACAAGTGATAGGTTCCTCATCAATCACATTTTGAAGAACAACACAGAGGTACACAAACTGGTGAGCATGTTTTAGTTCAGTTTCAAAAAAATAAAAATAAAAATGAGATCTTATTCTGTTGAAATAGTTATTCCATAGCCTAGCTTTTTCATATTACCTAAATGTAACAATATTGTTCAGTTTTTGTTGTGATTTATTTTATTATTTTTGTCAGACTGCACTTATCATAAATTACACTCAGTAAGACTCAATGTCAAAAAGTTAATAATCAAGTTTCAGTCAGAGTTTTATTTCAAAATGTTATTTTAAAAGCCATCAGTATTTTTTAATATTTTGGGTTTGGACACTAAACCAACAATCCTGATCAATAACCATTTTATGGCAGTTCACCACTTATGTCCATGGAACCCAGAAAGTGACCATTATGGACAAGAAAATCTACGCCAACCCTTCAGGTTTCTGAAGATCATTATAAATAGTGAGGAACAAACGGGTGACTCGAGTTTCCCAAAACTAACACATTTTCAGGTTAGAAAATTATTTTCTGTGCTTTGATGTTTTCTTTCTGAAGTGATTTAGCCTAAGCTGAAAATTAGCACAGGAACATCATGAAAAAGTCAATGTGCTTTACCTAATATGGAACAACTCAGATAAACTGATTCTCTACTGCAATAAAAACTATTTCAACCAATTAAAGTAGAATCCTTCCCTCTATTGTGGAATTTACCTCTGTAATCCGTTCCCTTTTAAAACATAAATTGCATTGGAGATGGAAGGGTTTCCTTAGCCTTGCATATCAGCAAGCACCACTTATTTCTCGAGTATTCTGAATGTGTTAGATACCAAGGCAACAACTCAAACCTATAAATTCATGTTAAAATGCTAAAATGCATATTCTTTCCTTTAGCATAAGCATAATTTTAAATAAGGAGACATACCCTTTGCAGCATGGCCTCTGACCAGGCATAGCCATTGTGTTCTACTGCCCACTGTAGTATAGTTCCCATAATGCACAGCATGACATCAGACTGCAGAATATTAACCAAACTTGCAAAAAGTGGGCAGAAAGGAGGAAGAGCTGGTGGTGGAAGTGCTGAAAGGGAAATGTGTGAATTTGACATTTCAGCATCTCTAAAATTTGCAACACTCATATAAAATGCCTGACTTTCAAACAGCTTAACCCAAGTCAGTACACAGCTGCTTAACAAACAGTATTACAGACAGCAGGCTGTAGCATTCAAAATAGCTTGCATGCAACAGAAAAGCCAAAGGAATAATCCATTCAGAAGGCTGGTTCCGTGACAGACCAGATTCCTGTCTGACGTAGGGGAAATTGCTACATCTTCACTGATTTCTGGCCAGCCCAAGAACAGGAATTGAGTCTAAGTGTCAAGGCAGTACAGTTTGAAAGGTGCTTCACTCTTCTCCCACCTTGTCTCAAAGAGAAATACCTGTATCTTCTCTGTTCTGTCTTTTCAGCTTTCTTTGTGCTTCCTCTGCCTGAAACAGATGACACAAATATTACTCAAAACCTGTACAAATATAAAATTAACAAATAATCCATTCATATTTTACTATATTGTTACTGTTTTTCTCCCTTTTTCCCAGCCTTAAAAAAAAAGGAAGCTTCCATGACTTTCTAGTTCGTCTTACATTTTACTTGTAAAAATGGCCTGCACCTTCAAAATGAATCTTTCATTTTGAGCCAGTTTAGGCTGCTTTTCTCACATATAGCTGTATAACAAGTCTGAGCTAAAATGGTAATTTCCATAAAGGTTTGTGAAAAAACAAATTGTTTAAATACTTCCAGTAAAATGCTTTTCAGTGAATAGGCTGCCCAAGGAAGCTGTGGTTGTCCCATCCCTGGAAGTGTTCAAGGGCAGGTCAAATGGGGCTCTGAGCAACCTGATCTAGAAGGAGGTGTTCCTGCCCATGGCAGATGGGAGTTGGAACTAGATGATCTTTTAAAGTCCCTTCCAACCCAAACCATCCCGTGATTCTATGAAAATAAGACCTAAGAGAATCCGCATGCAATCTCCTGAAGCCCCACTGATTTCAGCAGCTCTGCATAGGGCACATGATTTGGTGGCACAGCAATCACTGCAAAACCTTTGACAAAATTTTGTCAATGTTCTCCAATAATTTATCTTTTTTAAGTTAACTTTTAACCAGCTGGTAATATTTCTTCACAGAATAAAGCTTTGGAAAAAAGCAAACAGAAAAAAAGACTAAATAAAACCCAGAAAGTGAAATTACTAGGTACCTTTGACTGCTCTGCCCTTGAAAAGTGATAGAAATACAGATTGAAGCTCTTGGCACATTCTGGTTTTAGTTCATAGAGCCCTCTGCCTGTTAATCCAGGCTTCCTACACAGACAAAAAACAAATTTACAAAAAACTTACATTCATTGGTTATTAACTTCTGAACATAAAATATTAACTTTGAACAGCTGAAAAACATTGCTCAAGAGTCATTCTAGAAATCAATTAAGTAACAGCACTAAGAATGATGCACATGAGTAAAACCACGAGGAAAGCACCATGACCCATGCCCCTTGTGTCTGTTGTCTGATTTTCACTAATTCAGATATTCTATTTTTAAAGCTGAAATACTAGAATAAAGGGCAACGTACTTGAAACAGGCCACTTCTTCGATCACACTTTCCATTCCAGTCTCTCTGTTCTCCTACATTGAGTAAAAAGGCAGGATGGTGTGTTACTGGAGTTTCTGGATTAAACCTATTTTAATATCATACAATGCTATGTAAGTATGTAAAACAAAGGTAGTACAAATTAATTTTACTGACACTTGGTAGAACACTAAAGCACATAACATGAAAATACATTCAGGAACACCATCTTGCAAAAAGTATTTTTAAAAAATCATGCTGTTTTAAGTACTTAACTTTTACAGTTTTTCCTTGTCATAATAAACTAGGATATAACAGTAACAAAAGAAAACTCTAAATTAGCTTACGCAGCCTATATTAGGAATATACGGTCAATATTTCTGTTAAAATGAAATAAATACAGGCCAGCTAAAAAAACAAGCCACTGAAAAATGGTAAAACAACCTCCAAAGGCAGCAAGAGAAATCAACTCACATATGTAACCCTACTTGATACACAAATTACCTTTTACCATTCCCCTCCTCTTCCTGCAACACATATTCACAGCAGCTAACAAGCCAAGGAAAAGGTATTTAAGACTGACAATACAATTTAGAACTCTAGCTTAAATTCTTGTTTGCTCTTTCATCCAACTCTAATATGTTTTTTAAAAATCAATGATATTCTGAAATTTTGCTTTTAAATTGGTCAAGTTTAAAATACCTAGAACAAAGAAGAGTATTTCAGAATTTATCCTTAAAAGTATGACCAATATAGTAGAAGATTAACTTCTGAATTCTGACTGCTTTCATAAATCATGTGTAAAGAGTACCTTAGAAATATTAATTAAAAAAGCATTAAGCTTTGCTATCCTACAAAACCACTTATACAAGAATTCAGGTGTTTTTGTCCATGCAAACAAAGCATTTACGTTACGCAAGTCTTCATATTGTGTTTGATTCCCCATCTTTTCAATTATTGTTTGGCTTTAAAATAGAACAGCTCACATTTCTGTATAGCTCCAACAACCCACATTCGTAACATCTATTCAGAGTTTACAGGCAGCCTGCAGAGGTTCCTGCCTAGATTGTCTGATAAGGAACAGTATTAAAAAAACAAAAGACGCTGAAGAAACTCTCGGACTCCTGCCTCTTTCATATGTTGTTTCTTCTTCCAATACCTCCTTTCTACCTTCTCCATGACAAGTATTAATCCGTATGCATGCCAGCCTTACTCTCAGCATAATCATGCTGCTCTCATTACACATTCAGTGGCATAAACTCCAGTAAGAAAAATTTTCAGCAATCAGCCTTACAATGTTCAAGTTGCTTTTTGTTTTTCCCTCCCAAGTTACTTACATCTTCAGGCAATGCCTTTACCAATTCACTGTGAGCCATTGGCCTGATGCTCAGCTGATGGATGATCTCTCGTTTGATTTCATCTGTTGCATTTACCTGCCCTATTCCAGGACTGAATCTTTCACCTTTAAAAAAAAAAGTAACCTTTTTTTAGGATTTTAAACATTTCTTTCTCCTCTTTCGAAACTTAAAGCAGAAGACTGGAAAGTAAACGTCTTCTGTGAAATTTTATGTTCACCCACCACTGTTCAAAAATTAATTACAGTAATCTAAGCTAGTTTCAAGGCTTTTCTCCTAGGACAGAAGTCAGAACTACAAGAAGTTGAAAACAGAACTGAAGTTAAGAAGATAATGAAGAATGCTCACACCAGGCCCTTAAAGAGACTAATTTTTAAAAATTACACGTATTCTGAACTTACCAACAATCATTATAATGAGGTATAGCATCTCCTCTATAAGAGTGTTATTTTGTTGCACCACATCCTGAAAAAAATTAAGGAATTAATTTTTTTTTTTCAATTCAGGGTAAAAGAATTATTCTATATGCTGAAAATGTTTTTTGCTGCTTCAAAATATTGCCTGTTTTCACCCTTAGCATTCCCAAAATAATTGCTGAAATGCAATCACAACTGCCTGAAAACTTCTTACACAATGCAAAAATTATGCATGTTTGACATTTATCAGTTTGATAGGTAAATACCTTTATGCATCTTTCAAACTGATCAAAATAAAATCAAACAGGATAGGTTTTACTTTTTTTATCAGCAAATTGCACAGTCTCTGTACAACAGCATCTGATACACTTTAAAAAACAAAAATGCAAAAATGCAGATTTTTCTATTGCAGTAGTACAAAAAATACCTTGTTTGTATTTTCTGTGCTAAATCTTTTGCCATAGTCTGGAGTACTAAATATCTGATAAAGTTCAAAGCGACTCAGCATTATCATCAAGAAGTGATTTGGATCCATCATAGACACACCTGTCTATTAAAGAAAAAAAATATTATAAACAGAAAATAGATTGGATGTTACTATAGCACATTTGTATGTTTCTATACAATGTTCACAGTATATTCTTATTAAATTTATGCCTCTCCCTATTCTGGGCATGAAGATTTAATTACTTAAAGCTGTATTCTCTAAGGACTCAAATAACACAAGTGACAGCATGTTTGACAAGCAGGATCCTATGCCTTAACAGCAATTTCTGATGCCTTTTTAAGTGTAAAATATTGAGGGTTATTCCTTCTATCTCAAATACTTAGATCTAAATAAAACGCAATGGAAAACTTCTGGTTGGCTGGCTGTGTCTCTGCAATCCTGTTCCTGCTGGCTCGACTTTTTAAAGGCACAGTATCACTTGCCATACAGACCAAAGATTTTAAAAACAAATTGCAATCCTCAAAACAAAGGCTGAAGACTTTCACAAGGCTTCCAAACCTTCCCAGAAAGAAGAGTATTAATGTTTCAATGTAGCCACGTTTACTTTGATTTTTGAAAACTACTGGCCAAAGTATTTTTCTGGTTATTAAACGACATATCTACATCAGCCAACTATAAATACTTGTTGTTAGTTTAGTATTGCAAACAGGACCATCTTTAAGACAAAATAATTTCCAACAAAATTGAAGGATATCCCCCCAAATGGGTAGATGCAGATGATAAAGCTGATTAAGCCTCAGGGAAATGTGTCTGAAAGCAGAAGTAACTCGGGACAGATACATCATAGTGGGTATTGCTAACTAGAGGTAAAATTTGAGGGACTTTCTGAGAAAAGATTATGCTGTCTAGGTGAACTACACAACCCAAATTTTAAATTTCAGCTTCCACTGTTCTCAGTGTAGAACCACTCATTCATCAGACCTCTTTGTGTCAGAGCTAAGTAGACTGCCAGACTTGTAAAACTTCTTCTGAAGGAAAACCAAAATAAATCACAGACTACTATATCAGGTTCCATTTTCTGTCCAACATTTTATATACCAGCTTTGAAGGGAGGGAGAGGAGGCAACATATACACTAAGTACGTTACTGAAGATCTGCAGACTCACAGAACTGCCAGTACAGCACAATCCATTAGTTAAAATACTACATCTTGAAGATGTAGCATTACATCCATGTTACATAGATTCTGCACTTTCCACAGTGTATTAAAAAACTAGAAATACAAAAAGAGTATTTCCTTTACAAATTATCTCACAAAGACACAGACACAATAAAAAAAACAACAACTGAAGTCCTTCCACAAAAATGTACTTTTTTCCTTGTCATTAAAAGGTTCTGATAGAGCTAAAAACACTTGCACGCATATCCTTAAAATGCTTGGTAAAAACACAAATTGGTACATGAGGTTACCTGAAGCATTACTATGTCCTTGTCAAACATCTCCCTCCTGCACTTCACATTATGATAATAATAAATCTGAAACAAGCAAACCACAATAATTAACAATCATTATATTTAATCTAGACTTATTTTTAATCTGGAAAAATCAACTGTTATACAATATTAGTAAACAAAAAGAACTTTTGACTTGAAAAAATTACATAAATATATTTGTATGCAAAAAGTATGTTTATATAACACAAAACAAGCATAGTTGATGGCTGGTTTGTTTTGATCTCATGTCTAGATTGCATACACTTAGACAGAAAAATCTTGTGGACCTCTTCTGGATGTGTTTTAATGTATCTACTTGCTTAGCAATTAACTTCGAAATTCATGGAAGAGAAAGCCCAACTGCAAGATGGAGAAATGTTCATTCTTTGCTCCATAAATAACTCTAATTATTTGAGATAAATCTTTCAGGTATTGCCAGTTTAAGCAAAACATTAATACTGTGATAGAACCATACTTAACCCAAACCATCCTGGGAGTCAACTCAACAGTACTGCACCAAATAGCAGTAACATGGCAATTGCTCTGTATCACTGAAACATGGGGAAGGTTGATTCTATCACAATCACGGAAAAATAAGGACGGCTGCCAAGCTTCCACCAGGGAAACTTTCCTCTACGGACACATAATTTCTTACCAGAATTATATGTAAGACAGCTAGGCTTGCCTTCCCTCTCTTCCCCACACTAATAATCCACACATCGATGCCCACTCCTATCTTCTGGGAAAATATCCAAAAGGAGCTGGCTAAACACGAGCTCTCAATAGTCAAACAAAACTGAAAGGACTTCCAGACTGTGGCAGCCATATTACCTAAACCAAATAAGGCTCTTTGAAATGCTGACAACCAGGGAAAATTAGCAGGGAGACTTACTTGACCATCAAAAGCTATGCCAAAATTTAAGATTTTATGTGTCTACAGCAATACGGGCACTGCTATAATTGTATGTAACAAGAGATCCTTTTGCTTTAATAATGACAATAGAAGATATCACCTTATAAAGACACTTTAGGTTAAAGCGTCAAGAAGTATCAGAACAGAATAAGCTTGAGCGGCTTAATTCAGCCTCTTAGTGCACAAGTATTGCCATTACCTAGGGAAGGTGGGGGTCTGTGGGAGGGAAAAGTTTCTTGCAAATAAATCAGCATCTCTCAGAACTAAATCCTATTTCTGTTGTAATCCATGTCTTACTGAGAAAATCACTTTAGACAAACATCCCAAGTGCGTGGCACCAACGCTACAATTCACATCTTATAGTTTTTATGCCTGAAATACCTAAGACCTAGTTTGTACAAAGAACATACAGTTAGACATGGACAGAGCTAGTTCCTAGAAGTATGAGAGAAAAAAGTCAAGAAACACTCAGTTCTGTGTGGTCTTTGGATTTTAATTACCTTATAAACATAAACAGTAATAGTATCTTAATGATACATATTTTTATATTTGAGACACTTTTATGTGAAGGTGATTAATGCATTACTAAAGTTGCACAGGTCTAATTCTGCACTTCATGCTGCTGCTGGACAGCATACAATAAAAAGGCTAGGAGTCATACACTGCATTGTATTAAAATTTATTTATGAACAGAGCACTAAGCTCACTGAGCAGCATAGCAGTCCTGAAATAAAAAAGCATCTTCTAAGAAATCAAAGACCAGTTTAAAAGCACAGATGTTCCAACTATGCGAGTGCTTATGTAAACACCTACCTCGCACTGCATCCCTTAAGATTTACATAAGCAAAATTTGAAACCAATAAAGAAAGGAGAGCTTTTGAGAGCTGAAATTACCTTGGAGGAGTTATCAGAAGACAGTGATTCTACAGCTACTACGTACTTACCTGGTTAACAAGAGAGAACCCATTTCTTCTCCACATCCCTGCATGTACTTGGGCACAGAGAACCAGGCATCGTAGCGGATGTTCTATCAACATAGGTGGACTAAGTTCACTCTGCATTATGGAAATTAAATACTTTGTTATGTGCAAATAAAAGAAAATAGGAGTGAAATGAAGAAGGATGATATCTGTGATCATTAATATGTTTTGGCAATACAAAAGAGATGCAAATGCAGCACAACTATTACAAAGATTTGATAAGCCTATTCACAATCTGCCCAACTGCTGTTAACCAAACTTACATTGTCTTTACTCCACAAAGGCTTTAGTTTATTCTTAAAGACAGGAGATTTTGTAATTTAAAACATCAACCCTATCCATTTAACACTGTCCTTTGCTTCCTTTTGTTCAATTAAGTACTACTTCTTTCAAAAGACACTGATACTCCTTCTCCCAGTTATGTTTTCTCCTGTTCTCATTTATCTTGTTCTATTTAACTTCCCCCTAATAAAAACACCAGTAAGAACACACAGGAAGCAAGGAACAGCTGGGGAAGAAAATTAGAACCTAGGCCAAGGAGAAGGAATAAGGCCCCGCCAGGAGTTCCTAAAAACAGTTTCTACTACAAAAATAAAGTAATGCATGAAGAACAAAAATACAAACCTTAAACCTGAGTCTTCGGTTATTTAAGAGAGCAATGCTGATTGCTTATGCTCCAGGCGTTAGTATCTAGCTATTCATCTTCTAAGAGGTAATTTTATCTACTAAAGACATTATCTCTGAACATAATTCATAGCAAAAAGGTCCTTTGTTTTATTTAATAAAATCCTACTTTTCATGACAAATTTCACATTCAGCATTGATTATATTTAATGAATATGCTACATTTAATTACATACCAGTGGTAGCAGCTCTGGAAACTTATATGCCACTTCAGTTTTACTCAGCAAAACATGCAAGCCTACGTAAATACATGAAACAAATACATAAATACTATTAGATAAAATATAAAATATTGTATATAACTCAAATAGGACAAAAAAGGTCATCTAATTTAATATCAGATTATTTTCTAGCTACAAGTAAAACTGCAGATTCAGCACACTGGAGTTACACAGCTATTTCCTGCAGAGATATATTACAAAGCACACATTTTGGGAGAATTTAGTTTTCCCAACTTGCAGTACCAATGTGATTTTTGCCTTTTTTTTTGACTCTGTTGTGTCCCTTCAGTGACAGTCAAGAATCTTTGGTCTATCAGGACAATTTAGCAACAGATATCCCATCTTTTCAGTCCTCAGAGGTTCATCAAATACCTCAGGAACTATAATGAGGCTCCTACAAAATATATATGGGTTTTCTGAATTGCTTTGTTTTAAAGCTACAAGGTTGTGCTTAAAAATTCAAATATTCAAAGTTATTTGACACTGAGCTGCACAGTATTTTACCTAAAGATGACCTTTTTAATTTCATTGCCTGTGAATTTATTTTTATCATATGATTTCCTGATTCTGTAAACTAAAATCCTTCCACATTTTTCAACATGACTGTTGAACAAGATAGACAAGATATAAAGACACAATTTTCTGGTGACACATCCGTTTGATACATCTGTTCTCTAACAAAATGTTCATTAGTCTATTCAATCCGACATCTAAGCATATTTCAAAACAGTCACAGTCCATATTTTGTTGCATTTCTTTGCATCATTCAAGTGGCAGTTATCTGCCTACAACACACCCCACGGACAAATCCAGAGACAAGACAATCTCACCCAGGCCTGGAACAATAACAGCTTCTCCAACACTCAGCAATATTCTGCCTAGAGGTTATCAAACAGCTAGAAAACGGCAAAATGCATCGTACTCAGACTTTAAACCAACTGTGTGGGGTTCCTTATGTACACACAAATAAAAAAATCATATTTACACACAATTTTTCAATTCCTGAAACATTTTTTAATTAGTTCATACCTGCAAGTAAACGAGAAACTGGGAGATGAATGCTAACTTTCTCCTGAGAAACACAGTATCTGATGGTCTCAACTGAATGTCCACACATACTGAGAACAATTGGCTGTTCTCCATCAGTAAAACCACTATGACACTGCATCAGCACAGTCAGGCATTTCTTGTAAGCTTCAATTAACACTTTTTCCTAAAAGAAAGATTGCAGTTCTCAAAGATTATGAAAAAAAATCAGCTCCACAAAATAATACAGCCAGCATTTAAAATCAGATGGGTTTGGGGCTTTTACCTTTATTAAGAGCCCTGCAAAATTAAAATAAGGAATACAGTAAAAAGAGCTGAACTAAAGGGGACATTGACTGAGAAACTCATATGGGCATGTCTGTTGATAAAAACATGCACTAGTTTTTTTGTTTTCTTTGGGGATTTTGGGTTTTTTTGTAACTTACATTATGTGAACTTCTTGAGCAAAGGATCATGCTTGGCTAGTGAAGCCTGCATATTATCTAACAGTGACAGATGAAACCCAGCTTGAATGTTCTAATATTCTAGGATCACTTGCTCCACAGCCGTATCTTATAATGCTGAAGGTGTGTACTCCTAGAACTTGAAATACTCATGGAGTAGAAATCAGACTTATAGTCAAAAAGCATTTGGTAGATTCAGAGCCTTCTCCCTCTTCTCTGAGAACTATAACCTGATAGTGTTGTGATGATCACAACTTCCAAATGCATCACAGAAGACACTCTGCAATAGTTTTTAAAAGGCTTAACCACACACTTATGACTTGGTCAGCTCAAGCTATAAAACATGTTTATATAAAGATTTGCACTTGCTCAGAGACCACGATCTTGACTTACGGTGCAGTTATGTCTCTTCTTCAATTGTTATACATTTGTTTGGGTTTTCCACCCCCCCCTTCACACATTCACATGGAAAAGCAATTCAGTAGGAACTTACATCTAAAGCACACCAGTCCTGCATCATTGAAATAACAAGTGTTAACTTCATCTGCAACGTAAATGCTGCTTCCCATTCTGGTTCCATTTCTATGTGCTGTCCTACTTGACGAGTTATTGGATCCATACCCTAGGACAAAAAGAATGTTGTATTTCAATAATATATCACTGAAATGAGTTGACAACATTAGCAGAAGTGTTAGACAGTGGGTATGTGTCCTTATAGTGTTGCTACAATAGGAAAAAAGAAGTTTGGGACCATATGAAAAGGAATTATATACATCTAAATAACCTGAAGCTGAAACAGGAATTGGAGGGGAAGAATATGGGACAAGAGAGCTTTTGGATACAAGCTTTAATTATTTTTAACACCTGCAGAGATTTCAGTATTGCAAACAGTACAACAACATTTGCATACATAGTTTTACATACATATTTTGGTTTTTGAATGTATTTTCTAGGGATGTGCAATTAAATGAAATTAAGTACTAACTAAAGACTAGCCACTACAGTACCTAATCAGACCTTGGCATAAGAAGAAAAAAAAAAAAGAAGCATGATCTGAGAATTACAATATACTCAAGAGAGTATCACAAACAAATTAATGAAAGCTAAGTTCTGAGAAAGGTATGCTACTGATGTACTGAAAAAATGGCAGTGATTCTGACTTATGCCTTACTGATCGCACAGCCAATGTGCCCTTGTAAAAGCTGCACTGCTTCTAAAATACTCCTCAAAAGTAACATAGCATAGGAAAAGGCTGGGGGGGAAAAAACCCACAGTGGTCTATTTGTATTAGGAACTGTTTACCCCTCAATACAAGGAACAATTCTGCTGAAAAATAGTAACTCCAGCTCTTGCTATGAGGAAAAGTTGATTAAGATGAACCAAGATTTGCTCACACAAGTAACTGTGTCTTGTCTTCCTGCATAGATGCAAAATATACCCCAAATGACATTTTTCTTTTTAAAACACCCTTCCTTTTTATGGCCCTCCACAAAAAACTAAATGAAAAAACTTAGGTGAGATGTGTTTCAGGAAAACCTGATTACTCCAGAAGTTACACTGCACTGAAGTTATAAAAAGGAGAGTACATGAAATTTCCTCCATATTTATATCATGACAGCCACGTTCCTGCTTGAACACAGAGCAAATTCTATAATTCACATTTACGTACCTGACAATATACTCAAGAGAGTATCACAAACAAATTAATGAAAGCTAAGTTCTGAGAAAGGTATGCTACTGATGTACTGAAAAAATGGCAGTGATTCTGACTTATGCCTTACTGATCGCACAGCCAATGTGCCCTTGTAAAAGCTGCACTGCTTCTAAAATACTCCTCAAAAGTAACATAGCATAGGAAAAGGCTGGGGGGGAAAAAACCCACAGTGGTCTATTTGTATTAGGAACTGTTTACCCCTCAATACAAGGAACAATTCTGCTGAAAAATAGTAACTCCAGCTCTTGCTATGAGGAAAAGTTGATTAAGATGAACCAAGATTTGCTCACACAAGTAACTGTGTCTTGTCTTCCTGCATAGATGCAAAATATACCCCAAATGACATTTTTCTTTTTAAAACACCCTTCCTTTTTATGGCCCTCCACAAAAAACTAAATGAAAAAACTTAGGTGAGATGTGTTTCAGGAAAACCTGATTACTCCAGAAGTTACACTGCACTGAAGTTATAAAAAGGAGAGTACATGAAATTTCCTCCATATTTATATCATGACAGCCACGTTCCTGCTTGAACACAGAGCAAATTCTATAATTCACATTTACGTACCTGCATACATTTGAGTAATTCTAAGAAGGCATCAAAACCCTCTAGGAACTTCTGCCTCAAGTCATCTGACCACTCAGTTGGCTTACTTATCAACACATACCTGGGTACATTAGAAAGACAAAAGTGTTAATTATTTTTTCTCCCCTCCTCAATTGATCAAATCAGCACGCAATTAGTTAATATACTTACTTGAGATCCAAAATAAGGGTCTGAACACGCCTGAATTTGAAAGCCTGCAAAGCAGTGTAACGTTCAAACTGAAACCTGCCTTGGATGTCACGGTGCCTTAAGTGGTCCATAAAAGTTTTGATGATAGTGGTCATGAGATTTTCTTCCGTTATTAGCATTCGAGCCTATGCCAAAGCATATTGAAATTTGCTGTAATTAACAGACACAGCTAACAAGAGTTTCTCACTGCACCACCAAGTAAGTTCATAAAATATATTATTTTTTATCCAAAATAATTACACAAATAAAAACAGAACATACTGAAAGCCAAACATTCACAGAAGAAAAAAATCAATCTACCCAGAAATTATCATAATCCAGACCTCTCACTTCAAATCCCTTTTGTACAGAAGTTTGACTATGGCTAGGCTTCTGCTAAGCTATGTAATTATGGCATAAAACATATATTATGTGTCCTATAATTAAATCGTACCTCCCTTTAAGTATGTGTTGTCTCCTCATATAATTTAAGTATGAGCTTTTTGGGGGAGTAACAGGTCTGCTTTCTGTTTACAAGCTGTCAAGCACTGTAGCAAACAGTGCAGCTTTTGAACTGCTAAGGAACTGTACAGTGCAATTTCCACAAGGAAATTACATGAAATGACTTATGATTCCCCCCAAGGGCTACTGCAAGTATCCACGTTGCAGGAAACAAATCAACAAGCATTGCAAAGTCCAATAAAAAACATCTTCCACATCCAACCTAACCCAACCCTGTAACAGAGGAGGCACTAAGAAGTTACTGCCACTTCCTACTTGTGAGCTCTTCCAAGACACCCCCATTCTGTTGGTTCTCCAGGAGTCTTGCAGTTCTCATATCTCATGAGGATTTTATGATGTGACTGGTAGATTCAAGAAGATTGGCTACTCTGATCTACCTCAACAACACTGTGGTTGTTGACTAGAGTTTCTGGGTTCTACAGGTGCTACAGATACTACCAAATACAGGTTCTAAAATGCTACTGCAGGGTAAAAATAATAAAATCTAGTGGTTACTATTTTCCCAAAAAAACCTCACCATCAACACAACCACGCATCCTTCCTCAAACCAAACTACAGTTAAACTTGAGAACTCAAACTCTTAAATTACTAAGATTAGTTTGAAAATATTACTGGGGGGGGGTGGTTTTACATTCAAGTTATTAATTCAGTTAACTCCAAATGGCTCTAAATATATATTTAAAATCTTATTTCATATGGTAGGAGCTTATAATAATTACTTTCCTGTCATATCTATTCTATACTTCTACAAAACAGTTAAAACCAATTTATTCTAATTTTTGCAGACTTTTGAAAAAGGAAACTTGTAAAAAGGACACTGCAACTAGTTGCCTATAGGAAAATCTTTGACATTCCTTTTTTTAAAAAAATATGTATTAACATATTCCACCACCCCAACTGCCATAACCATTTGAATAATGAGTTGGTTAAGTCTAGCTGTAAGTCCTGAATACTAGTAACATTCTTATTGGCAGCAACAAAATTAAGAGGTAACACACTATTGTCCTGAACCATGGAAATAAAATCCTGAGGTCCTGTTGAATTTCCATGAACAACAACCAGCCCTAGGAAAGCAAAAAACAACTCTGCTCAGTACCGTAACTGCCATCCTACTAATGAATTTTAGAGCTCAATTAAGTTGATTAAATTTTGAACGATTCTGAAGTATTCATTTTTTAAACCATTTGAAAACCAGTTTTATTTCCAGTACCGCTTTGAAGTTTAATTTGTCTCTTTCATAATGCAAGCAAACAGAAACTTATTTGGAGACTAGAGCAAAAAAACAGGTGTTTTCCAAACAAGCATAAGATGGTGAAAGGCCAGGAGAGTTAGTGAGCTGGGAGAAGTAAGAGTGCCTGAAGCAATGTAAAAAAATTAACTGGAAACCTGAAAGAAAGCATCACCTGAGTCTAGAAGTATCAAAGGAAGTAGAGAATATCATGAAACAACTCTTGCTTGCACTTGTATTGATTGAAAAATGAACCCAAAGTGGACAATTTATGAAACTGCACCAGAATGGTATGCTCTGAAACTGTGATACACAAACCCTAATGTAGACTTCTAAAAGTAGTAACTGTGGCTCAGTACAACGAGGAATTTTATTGTTGTGTATGTGCCTCTAAATAAACACTTAAGTACCTTTCTAAAATAGTAAAAGAAAAATCTAAAAAGAAAAATCAAAAATACCTAGGCTACTCTGTGAAGTCAGCCTCAGCAATACTGAAAGTTTTACCTTCTAAACCCACAGCAACATATGTAACCAGTCTGACTGCTGTGCAGCAGCAGTGCCATGCATTTCCAAAGAAATGTTAAAAGAAATCTGCAGTCTTGACTCAAGAACCTCGAGTTGCTTTTAACAAGTAAAGATTTCCTTTTTTGGTCTTTCAGTACTTACAAGAGAAGGCACTGTGAATATCTGTATCGAGAGGTCAGCAATTGAGAACTCTCTGTCGTGGTCATCTTTCATAAAATCACTCTGCAATCGCTCATAGTTCTATTAAGAAGGAGGCAAAAAAAGGCAAGGAGTGCCAACTATCAGTTTTTAAAAGAAAGACAGGCACTACTCACCAGAGTAGGTACAGTGAAGAGTTGGACAGACAGAGCAGCCACCGATACTGCCCGTTCGTGATCATCCTCCATATAATCTCTCTGCAACTGCCGGTAATTCTAAACAACAAGGGGAAATTCACCTCTAATCCACACTGACCTGATTTTTTTTTTTATTTAAATGTCTGCTCTGGGAAACTTCAATGCCATGATAAAGGGAGGAGTAGCTCTTAAGGATTATTACATAGATTTTTTAATTTTTTTATTTTTTTTTCAAAAAAAATGCCCACACCCGAGATTTATTCACACTCATTTCACAATAATAAGAATCAAGATCTACTCACTCTCATTTTCAAAATAAAGGCTAATATTTTATTTTCTACTCAGAAAAGCCTTTTGTCTTCAGCAGAGTGAGCAGAATTTTGTGGTGCTGATTTAAAGCATTTCAAATACTAGTTACTGCAGAAATACTAATCAGCGTAACTGAACTTCAGCATAATTTCTAAGTAGTGCTGTAACACCTCATGCAAAGCCATTAGCTCTTTAGAAGTGATAGCCTGCATAGTTGGTGGTGAAGATGAAAACATCTGAACTACTTTAGTTCTGGGGAACCTAGAAAGTCCAGTTTCTTCCCAGGAGATGAGATACCATTAAAACTAAGATTTTGAGGACAGAAATAAGATAGTCAGCATTTCATTTCAACTTTTCACTTCTAAAAAGAGGAAACAAATTCTGGATAACAGTTCACTTGAAACACTGTATGCTAACTAAGCTCTCTTTGCTGGACAGTTAAATCATTTAATGACTCTTTGTAAGAAAAATACTTACTCTAGCAAAACGGATAGCAAAAAGTTTCTTGTATTGCAAATCCATAAGTAGACTGCTCATGAATAACTGGTGATATACATTTCTAGCTCCTGTCAAGAAAAATTAATGAAATACCACATGTCACTATTTTCTATCAACATATAATGGAAACATTTAGAAAAAACTGTTACAGAATGAGGTAAGTGTGCATTTCAGAGGAGAAGCTGCTTTGATTAAGTCTGTCAGGTGGTAGCAAAGGACTAAGAATACATAAAAAAAAAAATCTTCAAGTGGCATTATTTAGTACTTTTGTATAAGACAATACTGAGCTGTTGAATGGGAAACAAACCTTCAAATAAAAGGCAAGTCAGGCAAAAAAGTACAGAACTCAATTCCTCCTCAGGATAAATAGAGGATTTGGATGTCCCAGGGAAAAAAGGAGTATGCTTTTTGAGAAGTCCTGGGAACTGCAAACAACTCTACAAAATAATCAGCTCAGCTACCTCTGAATTTCTAGTCTGCCTGAGCAGCACCCCAGGAAGGATAACAATACAAATGAGAATTGACTGTGTGCAGCTTGGAAATACATATATATTTCTTCCTGTAGGTAATTCTTAAAATCAAAAGCCATTACATGATTTCCTTAATGCAGAGTAACTATGGAATACATGAAAAAGTAGAGAAATATTGAAATAGAAATGCACAAATTATGGCTTGCTCACATGAAAGACATTAGCCTAACAAAGCCTGTATTTAAAATGTCACGGTCCAAAGAAGTGGTCCCATTCAGATCACAAAATTTGTGGTAAGAAAACCAAACAAAAACAAAACAAAAATCTGAGTGCCAGGAATTCATTCACACGAGATAAACGTGTTAGATACCAAAAACCTAAAGAAACCATTTTCTCCATAATACATACACTTTCCACCTTATTTCAGTAGAAGGCATTTCAGTAGATACACTATAGATACTGGGATCGTATAAAACAGACAATCCCCAAATCACTTCATTGTTTGCTCAATTTCCCTTAACTATCACAGTCATCTACATATTTAAGTCAGCCGTAATTTCAGACTACTTCAGAAAACTAGATCTAAAACCATCCCATCTCCAAATGGTCTCCATCTTTTCTTGTCTCCAATACACTTGAGAGCATCATGAAGAAACAGATTATCACAATTCTATAATACACCACAGTAAAAACAATCAAGCATTAGAAGATACAGTAAAGGGAAAACTTATATGCATAACATTACTTATTATTTTCTACAAGTTCAAAAAAACTAACCTTTCCACAGTTTAGAATCATACAGCATCAGCTTATCCACAAGAGAAGAATTTTCACCATCTGGCCCCTCCTGTAAACCAACTTGACACAATATTCGACGAAGGCCATCTTAAATAGAAATTATGTAAGTTAGTTACAGATTAAACACAAATTTGTACATTATTTTGACAGACTGGAATTTTCATAAGGCACACTAAAAGCCACCAGGCCTTCTTTTCCTTGACAGCTGAGCAACACTGCTCGTATTTTGCTGATAGAAACACAAATACCTTTCAAGTTTCACACCAACCTCAGGGAACATTAAGAACCTTGTGAAAACTGCCAAGCACAATGATTTGTTTCAAAGTTACCAAATAATATGCTTTCTTAAAAGTACTGCTGGCTTACTAATGTAATAAGTAATTACACAGCAGGCTAACTTTCTAGGTTCTGTTTTTCCTGTTTAGAGACCTACCAAAAGGAAAAAAATATTTTATATATAAAATTACTCATATATAAAGTTTTTTTACACTTACTGGCTGCTATTATTTTAAAGCTCCTCTACATATTTTTTCCTAATGGAAAACAATAATAATTGTTATTTATAAACATCTAAGTTGTTATATGCTTGCAGACAAGTCTGCATCTGCAACAGAACACAACACAGACATGCTAATATTAGCAAACTAGCTTTGCACTGCAGGTAATGCATATTCAGTAACACAACTACATGACTTACACTCATTTGCCCTTATTTCTGCATGCTGCTTAGCCATCTCAGCTTCTTACACAGAGCTGGCAGTGGCTTAGTGCCATGTCTACCATACCATGTGCTGCAGTCCATGAACAGTCCATGAACCTATGCTGCAGTTTGGGGTTTCGTTCTGCTGTTTTGGGTTTGTTTTGATTTTTGTTTTTTGCCTTGCAGAGTTTGATTCCAACTAGTTATGAAGGGTAACAAATTAATAGAAACAACTGCATCGTTCAACAAATGGCAAACAGATGCTTATTCCTAAGGAACTGACATTTGCTAGAAAGGATGTGGTAGTCAAGCTTGTGATTAAGTTCCATAGTAAGGTTTTTCTCTTTATTCACTGACAAAAGTTTGACATTCATTGCACAACAATCATCCATCTCAGCAGTGCGCATCTATCATCCATATGACAGAGGAACAGTTACAGGCTGTTTACAACATTGAGTAGAAATCTAGATGTTTGGGTGTGTTTGTTAAAAAGCTATGGGATGCCATTTTTTTCAAAAGTGCCATTCACAATACCAGACTCCAGAGCACATTGTAAGACTTCATCCCAAGGGAAGAAGGCACTGCAAGTAGTTGAGCACGTAGGTGACAGACAAAACACAAGCATAATGCTACCATCAAACATTATTTTTGCCCTTCTGAATCATAAAGGACAATGAACTTAACAAAGTTAACCCTGCAGAATTTCAAAAAAGCCACACACAAATCAAACTATAAATGCAATGCTCATCTGTAATTTGATACTCCATTAACATACTTAATTTTTTTATTTAGTGCTGAAAATCAGTGACTTTGGTAACGGGCCTAAGTGACGTGGCACAAAACTGGACTTAAAAAATACAAGAAAAACAGTGCCCACCTACATGTTACACTGAAAGGAAAAATTATCTCTGAAATTAATTATCTTTAAGTTTCTCCTTTCTAATACCTATTATTTTCCAGCAACACTAGCAAATAGCTGAACAAATTGCTACCATAACTTTTCAGAAGTTTGATTTATGTAACCTTAAAAATGAAGTCGTACAAACACACTACTTATCTTTCAAAAAAAGGTAACATGGTATAGAGATCCTATGCCTGACATCTTGGCTAGTTTTTCAATTATCAGACTAATAAAATGTACAATCTCTGAAGAAATCTTGCACCTATGCAGAAATTGTATGCAATACTACAGCTGAGTATGCTTTGATAATAATGCTTGTTAACATTTACAGATGCACAGAAAGTGCATTGGAGACTGCATTTACATTTATACATATAAATAGTTTGACTTATTTTCCTTTTACTTCCTCTCATGCTCCACATCTTCACAACCTTATGATTCCCCAGGACAAAGGAGGAACCAAGCCAAAACAAATACAGAGCCTTCCCATAAAAATGACAGTGTGCATATTGATTCCCTTTGAAGAAACCTCTCAATAAATATTGGATTAATACTTTGTTGGCTTCTAGACTTACCCCAAAACCTCCACACATCCTTGTTTCTCTGTTTTTGCATTTTCTCTGTTATACGTAACAAAAAAATCTGAAGCAGCCACCTTCTCATCACTCATAAATTACTACGAAGTAATTTTGTCTGATCCAATCATACAGGTTATTTTCAGCTTACTGCATTTATTTAAAAAGAATGAGGGACTGAAAAATAGTTTGTTGGCACAAAACATTTGCTTCTGTTCAGCAGCAACTGAACAGAAACCATTGTGAGAAGACTGGCAGTGCTTTCATATGGAAGTTAGAACTCAGAACACCACTCAGTAACAGAAAACAGAATGAATCTGACAAATTATTACTAGCTTTGCTTTATATATTACATACCTGAAATAAGTAGACAACATTGCTTCAGGAACTCAGCTTGCCTCACAAATATTCTCTAACTTATCTCAAAAAAAGTTAAAGTTTGCCCACCTGAATATCCAATAACACTGCCAAGCCAAGTTAGGAGCTTCAGACCAAAGCTCTGATGGGCAACAATAGATGAATGCATAACTTGTACTTTCAACGGCTTTGTCTGACGACTGGTATTTCTCTTTAAAAAAAAAAAAAAAGGAAAAAGGAGGTAATACATATTTAAGTGAAGACTAGTATATTTTTCTCTACAGAAACACAGATTCGTTTGATTCATTTCAGTGACCTATAATATCAGTACATATTATAATTTCTAACACCTACAAATGGAAGAAAGAAAACCAAAAAGTCTGAACTCTGTGTATCCTTTTAATATTTTATGGACTTTATTATGCAATATCAACCTATTTAAAGCAGCCCATTTTCCACTTCTGGCCTCTTATCAATGTACAGAGTGATTTGCTGCAGTTTACAGATAAGCAGTTCCAGGCACAACCTAAGACAGTCACGCACATTTACTCCTCTCAACATGACATGCAAGTCACATAGCAGCCCACCATGGAAAGAAACTGATCGTCCAACAGACTCTTGTCAATAATACACATTCAACAGAGTTAAAACAAGTATGAAAACATTTCCCCTCATGTTAGTAACCTTAATAGTTAGATATTACACATAAAATCCATTTGTCTTTTAGTGCAGAGGTGGCAAGTAAAATATTACATAACTTTATAAAGATGCATTAATGTTTTCAAAATACCTTAAATAGTTTAAGGTGGGTATCTCAAGCTGCAGCACTTGTTTTTCAGTAGTAGCAGTAGCAGTACACAAACTATTTATTTCATGTGATTAAGTACTGCAGCACAGCAGTTAAAAATAAATACAAAATATTATTCCTATGCTCTTACACTAATATATATAGGTATAAGTACATGTATACACACATAAATGCACACAAACAAAATGAAAGTGTATTTGTAGTTTCACATTTGGATTCAATCAGTAACAAAGTTGTGGCTGTGACAGAGGCAAATAACTTCATACTCCTGAAGAAAATAAAAAGTTTTATTTCACAGATATGAACTGCTGTGATCTAAAAGTCTACACCTGAAGTTCCTGATCAAGTGCTGTTTTCTGAAGGGAAAAGCTGGAAACTTCCTTTTGGGAATTATTTTGGGTGCAAGGTAGATCATAGTAGAAAAACCAAAGAAAAATGGAGTCTAAACCTGTATATTTTGATACCTCTACAGTGTGCGTTGTCAGTAGTATCTCCCAAAACTTTGTACTATTAAAATACAAAGAATCATTATGGTAACAATATTCTAAAACTGTGTAGCAAAGCCTACTTCTGCTTAAGATGAGGCAAATAAGTAAGGTAATATTACTCACCACTATTACAGATTTTGCTTGATCACAATACTGAAAGTCTCCATACCGAACTGACCTGCGTCCCTTTAAATTGGTAAAGAAGCAACATTACCACCAGCTTCTAAACAGTAAGTTTAAATGCTTTGGTTTATATCAGTGTAAAAGATTCAGTACATTTTTAAGATGGACGTTAACCATTCTTGCCTTCATGCTATTTTTACTTCTAAATTACCATATATAGTTACATACTTGAAATCACAAAATGCATCCTATACTTTTTAGAAGAAAATAATTTATACCGTATATGCATTTACCCAATTTTACTAAATTTTCTGTTTGTAATATTGTTTTTAAGATATAACCATCACACTTATTTAAAATAACCAGAAGTTTTCTTTAGTATTAATGCATTGATCATTAGTTTGGGTAGAATTTAAAGATACTTCAGACTTCTCACTGCCTTTTAAAAAGTAAGCATGAAAGCTAATCTGTCCTTTTAACATACAACTGAAGCACTTGGTTTATTTAAAAGGAAGGTTTCCATATTGAATCTTTCTATAATGTCAATACATTAAAACCAATAGTTAATTCAACTTACAGTGTATTATAGACAGAATAGCTTACTGAGATTTTAGATCTGATGCCAAATGACAGTTTTCATGCACAACCTTCTCATTTCTTTTAAATATAATACATGCATACACAAATGCACATGTCTATATGCATTCTTTAATGTTTAGAAGTAGGACAGGGATCAACAGTAGGGAAGAATTTCCAAAGTTCATCCTACAATATACAATGTGTGCTCAAGTCAGCACACATTCAGGGATCAGGCAGGAGTCTCTTGGCTACTGCTATCACAAAAAAAAAAAAGAGTAGTGGTAATACAAAACCAAAACTGAGTTCAGTGTTAAGTCATATGAGGTGGTTATATTTCCTTTTTCACTGACCTTCTTGCAGTACTTCTACAACCCAAAACAACACTCTCACTTCCATTTTGGAAGAGACTTCATCCCCGCACACCCCCCAAAAAAAGCAGAAGTCAACAAAACAACATAAAACCAAACATTTTTGCAGCAACTGCTTACAGACTCATGGCACAAATAACAAGATGCAGTTGTCCCTAGCAAGTTTCTCTTTCTTAATAAATGCACACAAGCCAGAATACAAACCCTGCTGCCAGAGTACTTCCAAGACTGACATACTAGTTAAAATTATATTCAGTGTGTAGCGATTCTGAACTCATTGTTCTTTTGAAATGCTGTATGAAACAGCATGCTTTAGCTCTTGCTGCCATTATCACCTGGCAATTATAAAAAAGAAAACGAATTTTTTAAAACTGCAAATGTGCAAAAAGCACCAGAACAAAAATAGCCAATTATGGATTTTATCTCCCACAGATAACTGCTGTTACTCAAAGATGCATTTCCCATACCTGGAGCACATATAGGGACTCCTCCAATGTCAGCTCCCTGGTGTACAGTAAGGGACAAACTAGAGATGCTGCCTGTCCTTGACAGCAGCATGAGACACCCTGCTATTTACACTCAGAAGACTTACTGCAATACAGTTCCACTGAAGCATGTATTTAATATTGGGTCTCATTTGGATTGACATTTAAGGGTAGCCTGACATACAGTGCTCAATCACATTAACCACACTTGGGAAAACAAACTGAAGTGTGGTCAGATAAAATACATATCAGGGTAGGTATAAGTAAAATTAATTTACTTACATCTCTATCTACTGTTGTTGCAAAGCCAATAGCTTCCTTCTGTGTGCAGTTGACTGCCTTCTGAAGAGTATAAATAACTTGTTCATAGGTATGGACTTCATCATTAAACAGCATGCAATAGTAAGTGTCACTCTTCTCACTTCAAAGCAAGGATTGAATTTATATAATTCAAAGTAAGGTAATGGAAAAAAAATCAACATCTAGCTTGAAGTTTTCCATCAAGCCTGGGCTTCTTTCCTGTATACATATCACAACAATATATTTGAAACCAACTCACCACCCCTAAATTCTACAGGAATGTGCATCTTTCCTGCACAATTAAGTCCAAAATTAGCAAAATTTTAAGACAATACTTGAGTTTAATTCTTGTTTTTGAACACTTATTGATTATTGATAGTTTCCTACTAAGGAAAACACATTTCCTTCCATTGCAGCTGTGGTCAATACACTTTCCCATGGGTTCTCAGAGATTTAACACATCCTGACATTACTTTCCTACACCTGTTTCCCCAATACTGCATAAAGGTCTATTAGACAACAAACAGTTGCCAGTCTCTTAAAAAGCCCAAACTCCACAATCATCAAAACCATAGCTTAATAAGCTTAAATAGATTAGGTGCAATCTTTTGATTCCCATCATTATTTCCACAGCATTCTTACTCACACAACACAAAGCAAAATAACTTACTAACGAGATGTCACAAACATATCCATGATAACTGTGATGCTACAATACACTTAAATATTCTGCGCTGCTTCAAAATTTGAAACAAGTGGATCACTAAAAGTACAAAATACTTTTGCCATTCTGATCATAAGATCAAAGAGATCAGTATATTTGATCATAAGAAATGAACTCATCACTTGTTTTAGGGTACTGTGTTTTATTAATGCTTCCTTTTCAATTTTAAGAAAATGAAGGTATTACAAAGATTTTTTTAATTTTATCTGTGGAGAGAAATGGGCTGTATAACAAAAAAAACCAAATCTATTAAACATATTTTAGTCTGTTGTCTACAAAATATTCCTGACAATTTTAGGAAAGGCAGAAAAGATACTTAAAATCAGAATTTGCATTTTCTCTTGTAAATACCAGCAGGCCTTTAAAAGGCAGAAGACAAATACCATACTTACAACATTTCTAGGCCAGGTAATTCATTTTCCTTTTCCCATGTTAATATATCTACTGCATATTTAAATGTGATGGCAAAAATATTATAAGCTCTTGCTACCATATCTTCTGGTAACTGCACAAGAGGATCCTGAAAAATAAATATAAATAGCAATTGAGAAATTAAATTACGTTTAAAACAGAAATTGTCAAATTTGCACATTTTTTTGCCAAATATGATGTAAGCATCTTTAACGATGTCTTTAAATACTTTCACATATTAAAGGAACAGTCAATAAACATCCTGTTTTTTCCAGTTCTTCACTGACAATCACCAAAGCAGTAATCTAACATTCCATACCTAAATGTTAGCTTGCCTCTGATGACCCACTTAAATTTTCACACACATTCCTCCGTTTTCACTTCCATTGGTCCCACTTCTGCATATCTTCTAAGATAGCTCTGAAAAACTTTTAACCTCAGCTTCCGCAACGCCTTCAAAAACATTATTTGAAATCACTGTATTTTTTGTTCCACTTCCCAAAACTAGAAAACTGCAGAACACAACCAACCATGTACCTATTGCCTTGTTCTATATGTGGCACACATTTAGAGGCGTAAGTCTTACCCATCAAAGCTTACACAACACCTAGCACGCTGGGATCATGATTCATGATGTACGTCTCTTACATGCTGTGGCATATAATTAAATGCTTAAGTCATAGAATGGTTTGGCTTGGAAGGGACCTTAAAGATCATCTTGTTCCAAACGCCTACCATGGGCAGGGACAGGTAAATACAACTACATGTTTTCCTAATGATCTGCTCATGTCTTGGTCACAGACAGCTGTTCCGCTTTTGTATGTGGGCCATGCACCCAATTCTGTCTATTCTCTACTTTCCAAGGTGCCCTCCATATGGTATCTGCAGCAGTCACTATAAACTCAGCACCCTCTCTCTGCCAGAACAGAATGGCTGCTGCTGCAGGTGGGAAAACTGAAAGGAGGAGGAGGAAGAGGAGTGTTGCCTCAGTCTGAAAGTCCATGGGACTACTTTTTGGAGCATCAAATGAGAGCCACTGCCAACTCTGAATCTGGTAGTACAGATACCACTGCCCTTTCCTTCTACTCCATTTCAGGGGATTTGCGTGTGAAGAGAAAACATTAAGAACTTCTCTGAAATGATTCTTTTTCTTCTAATTCAAATTTCTGATGTTCAGAACAACCAGTTCCTCTTCTACAAAGCTGGAAAGGGAGCACTGCATGCCCTGTAGGTCACCTGGACATGTACTATATATTGGGTCACTGACTCAATTAATCACATGACAATTTGAAGTACGTGTAATTGTTAGCCATTTAAAAATATTGAGCAGTAGACCAATTTCTGATTTAGAATTTACTAGCACAAACTGCTGGCTCACATTGAGCTTTCATTGACCAACACTCCTTCTCCTCAAGGTCCTTCTCCTCAAGGCTGTTCTCAATCCATTCTCCACTCAGCCTGTAATTGTGCTTGGGATTGCTCTGACCCAGGTGCAGGACCTTGCACGTGGCCTTGTTGAACTTCATGCAGTTTACACAAGCCCAACTCTCAAGCCTGTCAAGGTCTCTCTGGATGGCCTTCCTTTCCCCCAGCGTGACAACCACACCACACAGCTTGGTGTCATCAGCAAACTTGCTGAGGGTGCACTCAACCCTACTGTCCATGTTGCTGACAAAGATGTTAAACAGCACCAGTCCCAGTACTGACCCCTGAGGAACGCCACTCATAACTATTCTCCATCTGGACATCGAGCCATTGATCACTACACTCAGAGTGTGACTAAAGGAAGTGGGCAGCTTTAAAAGTAATATGCAGGGTAGGGTGGTACTACTGAAGACCTATACAGATAAAAAAGGTGCAGTCAATGTAGTCAGGACAATTTTCATACATATTTATTTGGTTTCTATCTGAGGAATTGAATACACTTTCCCTGAACTTTGCAACATGCTCCAGTTGCCCCAGTGGAGAACTCTGCAAGAACACCTCCACTTCCCATCAACACAGACTTTAAAATCACCTTTCTCTCTCTCACCATACCTAGCACTCTAAAGGAGGAAAAGTAAGCAAAATAAAATCAAACTTTAGCCTCCTGCTCTTTGAGAAGTCCATCGTATGCAAAATAGCCAAGCAGAGGATGCTCTGATGTGGAAAGCCAAGTCCCCACAAGAGTCTCTCCAACTCTTAAAAATGCAACAATATTTTCTAGAGAGACATCTATATAACCTGTTCATATCACAAATACACACTGCCTTCTGCTGTGTTAAAAGGCAAGGAAAAAAGACTAAAGGAAGATACAAAGAACCATCAACAAGGAAGAGAACAATGAAGAAAATCTCTGTAATTGGCAACTTCGGACAAGTAGGTAAAGTGGGTGATGCAGTCCCCACCCAGTGTAAACCAGTATTAAAAGGAGAAACACTAAGGACATGCTGCAGTACGATGGCTCACTGGCCAGGGCACAACCCCTCCCCCCACCCCAGGTGTGGGAAATACATGTTCAAAGCTCTTTAAGTAAAATAGGCCTCAAATTACCTAGACTTTAGTAAAGCCTTTGACACTGTTTCCCACAGCATTCTCCTGGAGAAACTGGCTGCTTCTGACTTAGACCAGTGTATTCTTTGCTGGGGAAAAAATATGGCTGGATAGCCAGGCCCAGAGAGTTGTGGTGAATGGAGTTACATCCAGCTGGTGACCAGTCCCAAGTGATGTTCCCCAGGGCTCAGTGTTGGTGCCAGTTCTTTTTAATATCTTTATCAACTATCCAGATGAGGGGATTGAGTGCACCCTCAGTAAGTTTGCAAAATACACAAAGTTGAGTGGGAGTGTTGTTGATCTGTCTGAGGGTAGGAAGGCTCTACAGAGGGACCTGGACAGGTGGGATAGATGGGCTGAGGCCAATTGTATGAGGTTCAAAAAGGTCAAGAGCTGGGTCCTGCACTTGGGCCACAACCATCCCAGGCAATGCTACAGGCTTAGGGAAGAAAGGCTGGAAAGATGCCTGGTGGAAAAGGACGTGAGGATGTTGGTCAATGGCCAGCTGAACATGAGCCAGGAGTATGCTCAGGTGGCCAAGAAGGCCAATGGCATCCTGGCTTGTATCAGAAATAGTGTGGTCAGAAGGAGAAGGGAAGAAACTGTCCCCCTGAACTCAGCACTTGTTAGGCTGCACCTCAAACCCTTGTGTTCAGTTTTAGGCCCCGCACTACAAGAAGAGCAAGTCCAGAGAAGGGAAAGGAAACTGGTGAAGGGTTTGGAGCACAAGTCCTACAAGGAGCAGCTGAGAGAACTGGGGCTGCTCAGCCTGGATAAAAAGGATGCTGAGGGGACACCTTACCACTCTCTACAGATACCTGAAAGCAGGCTGTAACAAGGTGGGTGCTGGTCTCTTCTCCCAAGTAACAAGTGAAAGGATGAGAAGAAATGGGCTCAAGTTGTGCCAGGGAAGGTTTAGATTGGAAGCCCAACTAGCTACTTTCATTCCTGAGATGTAATAACAGCTGCTACAAGAAGAGTATAAGAAAAGGACAGAATGTTCCTCTGGTCTCCAACTTCAGACACTAATACTTCCCAAACTAAAGATGGTATCTGCAATTTTTGAACAGTCATTGATCATTTTTTCCCTTCCATAAATATGTAAAACTTCTTTTAGAACAACAACACTGTTCTGCAAGTTAGTCCAACAGCTTGAATCCATACAGTAAGATGTAGCATGGTTTTTTGCATTTCATACATCCCAGTTGTTACGCTATGAGAATTGGGGAAGATACATTCTCTATTCACCTTCTCCATACCAAACAAGCTTTTATAGACCTTTATCTTAAATCTCCACTACAGCATTCCTGTAACAGCAAGTTATTCTCATATTTAAAATCCATGCACTTTACTTTGGTAAAAATAAGAACATATGTTGCACAGACAGCTTATTTTGGCTTCTTCATGCACATAATTACATGCACATTTTTTTTTCTGCATGGCAGATTCTCTTGACCTTTCAGAACAAGACAGAAAAACAGAATTAAAGCTGCAGAGGCGACCAAGAACATACAAAATAAAGCCTTTAACGAGAAAAAGTAATTCTAAATGCTGCCTTAAGTTAGACAAGACATTAATTTTGTTTAACAATGTGGTTCAAATACTACTATTAAATTTCCTCCCATCTCTCATACATAGTATACAAGACTAAAAATAACCTCATATGAATGACTTACATACATACACACATATATATATATATACACACACACCATTAGCCATATTTTGAAACATGATGCCTCAATTGCTATTACCTCTTCTTCTGCAGTCTCTGAAGTGTTAAGTTCATGCTTTTGACAGTAAGGACCTTCCTTCCAAGCTTCTGTATCACCACAGTCACAGAAACCTCCTCCACCTGATGTTGTCATCTAAGACAATTTGAAAACAACACAGTTAATGTGAATGTGCATATACATACAGGCACAAAAGCCTGATAACACCACTTGATACAGCCTTAGCCAGTACTTTTAAAAACGCACAGGGAATGAGCCTGTTTCTATGATGTCTGAAAGCTTATCTACATCAGTTTGCCTATGCTCAAAGAGGTGTTTGGTTTTGGTTTTAAAACAACAACAACAACAAAACCAAAAACCAAAACAACAACAAACAAACAAAAAAGCTTGAAACATCCATCATTCCACCCCATCTGAAGGCTGTGTTGGGTTTTTTTTCTAGTTTTCAGTTTTTCTGAATCTTTTACTTGCAAGGCTATCTGTAATATTTCAGATTCTCACATTTTTAATCTGAACAAAGCTAACTCATTTCACTCTTATACAGTGAGTAAAAGATGTGCTGTTTACTGTAACAGCCTTTAAAAACAGAAGTTATTAAATTGCCCACCTAAGTCTAAGTGAAAAGTCACAGAAAAAAGCATCTGAAAAGTGTAATGGTATATTTACACTGTTTAATAAAATTTATTTTAAACCTATGATCACCTCAAATTAGTAAGTGTAATAATAAATACTCTTTTTGAACCACAACAATTAGCCAATCCATAGAAGAATTTCTCTTTCACCTTTTTTTGGCATACAGGTCTACACATACGAAACATTTGCTTACACTACATGTCACATGCAAAAAGTATGCTAGTATCAGTAAATTTGATTAGGTTTCTTGGGGTAAGTTGTTGTGTTTGTGGTTGTTGTTTTATTTCCTAAATCCTAGTGCTCAGTGTAACCATGCAGTGATGGGATTTACATTAACAGCAGTGCAGTACAGTCAAAAACAGATTTACAGAAAAGGCTGCACTGGTAGTTATCACTTAGCTTCTTAGTTTAAAAACACACCAAGGCCTTCTTAGTTCTGTTTGTAAAGTTGTTTTAAACTAATCTGTACTACCAATAGCAGTATATTGCTAAAATAAACAGCATCTACATGCTTATTTTGCTATTTTAATTTTATGTTTAAAAACAAAAATCCTAATATGGCACAGAATTTGGTAACAATTTATAGATTTAAAGGAAGTAAGTTTGAAATAAAAGTGACTTAAGTTTTTCAAATGGCTTTTAAAAATAATCAACTCAAAAAACAACTCTAATGCTGTAAATTTCAATGAAGGGCAATGTTACAAATAACACATTTGCAAGCTTAACTTTTGTGCATAAAATTTAATTGCTCAGTATTTTTAAGTGTTCAGTTTCAGAATTTAGGCTTGGATCAAAACACTGTATTCCTGTAAAACTATTGCAGATGTAATTCCAAACTTTGTGCTCATCCAATATTTTGAAACTATGCATACATTTTAAAACTTTAAACAAGGAGTTTGACAGATATACAAAATTATTAATGATGACATCATATATTCCAGCAGTATTACTAACCCTGTATCGGTGGTCTCTATGAATACTTCCAAGAAAGCACTCCATGCACAACACACAAGTTGGGTCAACTGCACAGTCTCTGAAAACAGTAAAACAAATGTGGGGTAGAGAGAGGGGGGAACAACATTAAACACATTATTTTGCCTTTAATTACACATTTTACAACAGGTAATTTTCAAACATCACCAACAGAAACCTTCACACCAATGTATGTATCAGACTGAAAGAGAAAAGGAATGGCTTCCAAGGAGAGGGAAACAAATGAAGGAGAAAAAATTCTCTTGTCATAACAGAAAAGGCTTTAAAGTATCGTCTAGGCAGCATGTATATTTGGGCAATAAAGCCACTGCTTTCAAGAAGTGAGACAAGTATTTAAGCAAGTAAAGAATTACAAAACACAGTACAGACAGGTAAACAGTAGTTCTCTCAAGTTACACAGTAAAAGTATTAACAATCTCCAGCGATCAGATAAGACTTTTTTTCACTGAACACTGGAAAGAAAAATGGTAACTCAAGAGACTAGATCAAACCTCTAAGTTTAGCCCTAAAAGCTCACTAAAGAGGTCTGAGAACATAATTTCCTCAACTAGGAGATCAGAGACCATACTAAGGCCCTTTCCACAAGCACTACTATATTAGATAGCAGTAGTATTTCTAGCAAAAGGAATTAAATAAATTAATTATGCATAACATTAAACTGTCTTCCTGAGAAACACTGGAAATAAATGAACACGTAATGCAATTGTCTTCAAGGCACCTCAAAATTAAGGGAGTCAGATTTTGCAATATAAAAATAACTACCAAGAAAACGAACGTCTCACGAATTCAGAGAAACGACTTATTTTGTTCAAAAGAAAACACCAGAAGTCCTGTGAAATGTTATTATCAAGCATTCAATAGATTAGTTTAACAGATCATGGAAAGAGGTCTAAAATACAAGATCAACACTAACAGCTGATAATAAACACTTGAATTACATGCACCTACATCTGCTTGCTTACTTGGATTAATGTCCTTAAATAACTCTTAACAGTTCACCTCAACCACTTTCTTAATCTTGCACTTCTTTTGTACAAAAACCACTTTACATTATATTAGTTAATATTTTTCCACTTACAAACCTGTAGTGTGTTAATTTTCCCCTGGTCCCAGCTGTCATGAAAAACTGCGAGGTTACTTTAAAAATACATTTGGGATATTAACTTTTCATTAAGGCAGTATATTCCTACTGAAAAATGTTCCATGACTTGACAAATTATAGATACTTCACAATGCTAGGTTGAACTACCTGCAAGAATACGTAGGCTCTCCCACTTTAAAAACACGGCCACAAAGATGGGAAGGTTTATTTGCTTGCTCAAGCTTTGGAAAACCAAAAGCAGGATCTTCACCACAAAGATACCATTCCATTGGTCCCAGCAAAACATGTTGTGCCAGCATATCTTCTCTTTGTGGGGCAGGGTTAGGACCCCTGCAGTAAATTTTTGGTACATAATAGGCCAGATGCTGGTATACTTCTTTCTGAAGGTCATTTGCTTGCAGCCATTTCTTTTAAATTAAAAGGAAAGAGAACACAAATAGTTAATTAATAAAAATAGCACACATAGTTCTATCCATCAAAATGGCATTTTTACTACTAAATACAAAAAATAAAAAAAGGCACTGCAATAATAAAATTCTTCCTTCTAAAGTGTAAAATCTAATCATGGAAGACAGACATTAGGAAAGGAATAATTTGTTTCCCTGCTTGCATATTTTATCCTTTTGACATGCAACATTATTTTTAAAAAGACAAGATGTAAGGGACCAAATTCTTAAAAATTTTCCTCTGGGATGCATGACCGGTAAAACATCCCAACATTAGCACCAACTTTTAGGATAAGGCCCAAACTATGCTGACTGCATTTCTTTGGAGTGCAGCTGGGGACACAGAAGAGCAGTGGAAGCCTAGAGTTGGCAAGAACAGGCAAAGACAAAAAGTACAAGGAGAACGGCAAACACAGCATTAGGTAACAACCCCTCTCATTTAATTTCAGCAAGTTACATATGAAAAGCTGCTGTAAGCCACTAAAAAACTCAGAACTCTTTCTAGGTTGGTTTGGGTTTTTTTTTCCCTTGTATACACACAGAGTAAGAAAATCCTCTAGCAAAACATTTCCTTTATTTCTGCCTGGTAGATCACAACTTTATAAAGGTTTAAACTGTAAATCAAGGCTGCAAGGTTTTTATAATAAGCAAACAGAAGCAAGCACACACTGCAAGTGTGCACTGATTAAATCCTGTGTTATATAAACAGCCCTAGTATGCCATTTCTCATTATAAATATGACAACCAGATACCCCTTGGCAACTTTAGAAAAAGAATTCAGGATCAACCTAAAACTGTACATGAAAAACAAGAATTAATTATACCAACATAAACGCATTTGGTAATACAATGTTACGGCCTGATTTACTCTGAATTGTTTCTGGCTTACACTTAAGAAGTTATGTTTGAGACAATAGAGTTGTAGTAAGTTCTTCAGGATACAGACAGAGTCAGCAGACCACTTGTGCCATTTAATAACGGCTGCATTTTTGCTTTTTTTAAAAATACATTATAGTATTTTAATTTATTAGACTTTGCTTTCTAAAGCAGAGTAGAATAATATACTTTCCTCCTTCTCTTTCCTTAAGTTTGGCTTTTAAAATCATAATTGGTCTACTAAATCTTTCTGTATTGATCTAGCTTTCATGGCCAAAGCCCAGATTGTTTCCAAGGAAGTCCATGGGAGAATGTTGCCAAAAAGCCAGATGCAACAATCTAGACTTTTACAGATAATCTCAACATTCCCACTGGGATTCAGAGAGTACTGCACAAAAAGAATAAAATTAAAAAGTAAAGTTTTCATTACTAAGAATTTGATTTGGCTTCCTTCCGAGCTCATTAATTTTTTCCTCCCCTTTCACCATTTGTACCAAATGCTACCACCAGGAACTGACCGAATCACAACAAAACTGACTTAGTGTCTTCCGTGATTTCCATGTAATAAGATCATTTTTAGATTATCTTCTAAGGCAAATATTAGCTATTACACTTACATTTGCATAAGCAAATTCATTTCAGCCTTTTAATTCAGCAGTACATTACTACTTTCTATCTAGAAAATAAACAGTGTATATTAGCTACATTACAAGCTCAGACAAATACTTAGCCAGAGAAAATTCTTGTTCCTCTAGTAAATGCCTTTCCCATCCCAAAAACTCTGGGAGTAGTTGCCTGAAAGTTAGGTGTGGCAACGCTGTCATCACATCTAAATCTCTCTGTGTAGTCAGCTCTATATGTATAAGTGTGCACAGAGTTTTGAAAATCAGATCTTGGCTAAAAGACTTTTGGGAGGAAGTACAGACTACTAGGACAGAGAATCAGATGTCACACTAAGAGCTACAAGGAAGGCAACTCAAAATACTGTTGCACATGTAAAATTGTTACTATAAATACATACTTAAGCATATATATGTTGTGCTGCCTTTCTATATTGCTACCTGGGAGGCACAGATCTCCAGCAAAACTACTCAAAAATTTTTAATTTGTTCTTTAACAAAAAAAGTTTGGTTTTAGGCAAATTTTCAGTTGGTATTTGTCTATCTTCTATCCTGAAGTCACATTTAAAAAAACCCAATCTTCTACACTCCCAAGAGAGGTTTTTAATAAAAAGCTAAGTGTTCTCCACTTCCTCCCCCCTCAAACTTAGTCTGTTTGACTGCTCTGGAAAGAAAAACAACAAAACAAAAGAATTGATCAAATAACATTTTATGTAAGGAAATATCTAATGGTGCGTCAGGGTTTATATTAAATCCACATCTAAGTAAGAGATATTAGGCAACAAAACATGTAATACAAATACGCCATAAACCAACTCAGTTTACTGTTTCAAAAGTTAAAAAGGTACAATGTATGTTTTTCTTAGCTACACAAATAAACATTTGCAACCTAGGCTCCTGCTCTGTTACAGAGAATTTATTCTTTTCACTGCTGTTCTTTGGAAGCTTATCATCCAGTCCTTGCAATGAGAAACCCAAGAGTCCTGCAACTATAGCTTTGGGCTGGCATTTGTTTTGTTAACATCGGGCTACCAGCAGAGGAGGGAGAAAAATATGCCAAAGACCAAGTACGTTGTTTACTTATACCACCAGGCAGTGCCAGCACATTTAGCTGATAGCACACTGTAGACTTGAGAGTGAGAGATCTCAGAATTGCAGCTTGGGCTGGAGATCACAGAGAATAAAAATGAAAAGGAATTGATTAAGTTTAAGATGGCATTTGTACCTACAGCACATTGGTAAACGTGCTCCACTGGGTGCACCATTGCCTTTGATTTAACTACAGTGTGACCCAAAAAAAGCATCTGCTACTCACACAAACAAGGCAGTCTTAACTTGGTAGGGGCTACCATACAGAGTGTTTGATGGAAATATTGGGTTTTCTGTTGAGGAGAAGGAAGACTTATCCTGGAGCTAAACTAACTAGGATATAGCTAACTATGCACATTCGACTATCTAATCATACCTTTGTCTGCATATACCACCAGATATATGTATAGATATACCACCATAATTTGACAATCTGAATTATAACATTGTCATAATTGTCATGCAGTTCTCCTTGAAATACACACGGACAGCTCTTCAAGGTCTTATCCAATAGACATGCACATGAGCAGTTCCAATATTTAAACATTATATCCATTCCCTCAAATGCACAATGTATAAAGATCAGGCATCTAAGCCAGAAAAAACTTTCTGTGAAAACTTTATCGTCAAGACTTCACTTTTGCCTTTCAACCTCTCTTCATAAAAGCAGGAAGAGTAAATAAACAAGAGCAGATTACTTCAAATAGTACATCGCCTTGTATTTCCTCTACAAGCCTCCCATTCTAATAGTCCTAAGCTTAACTAGTACAAGCTTTTGCCAGAAGGGCATCTTAACTATGGGGTCAGGGTGGGGGGGAAGGGAGAGGAAGAATCAATCCTGTAATTAAACTTCCAACACTACAAAGGATATTTGGGGTTAGACCTCCACCTGAACTGATGGGGGAGAGGGGAACTTCTCACGTCGAGGCATGACTGCCCTAAGAGACGTAAAAAGGCCGCGAACTAGATAGGAAAACTAAACCTCACAGCTCTCTGGAAAAAGCGAGAAAGCAGTAGATGAAGAAGAGACACACAGGGGAGCGGCCCTGCTCTCACCTTAAGAAGTATTATTCTCAAATGTTGCAGGGCATACTGAAAAATGAGTCTCCTACAGGAAAGCAATTTATCAGCAGCACTTTAAGCACGGCTGAACTTGTAATACTGTAGCATCTTCTGCAAGCCTGGCTTCTAAATGCCAGCTTTTCTCTTTGGCATTCACCATAGGCTTTTAGCTTAACCAGCTCTGATGCTAACTGAATTGATGACAAATAAAGGGGAGTTCACACTTTTTTTTTTGTAGTCTGTGAGGCAGTTCCAAGAATGTCAAAGGCTTATAAATTTAATTTTTTAAGTATATCTGACCAGACTCTCTTAAAAATGCAATATGGGGCACTTGGATGACAGAAGTACAAACAGAAGGATAGGTCTGAGAAACAACTGGATGGTGTGACCATCTCTAGAGAGAGTAAAGCACTGCAGTGACATGATGTTGTAGTCTGAAATGTTTGAGGGAATATATGTTGAAGTAGGAAGATTCACTAAATTTAAGGATCATAGAGTAAAAGGAAGAATATTAAAAGAAGACCATTGATCACCTCCCAGATAAGGGAATATTTTCTCAAACAGTGGTGAGATGGGATTATTTTGATAGAATTTTCCTGCATCCAAGCAACGTATCGACAAGCTGTCATGTGTTAATTACATTTCTGGCCTTGCATAGTCTTACAACATACTCTTTTGCCCCTCACCTCAATTTTAGAGACTGAGAAGAGTAATTAGTGAGCTATACTTAAAGATGAAATAATGAAGAAGCTATTTTTCATCTTTTTTAAACACTAATTTTAAAATTATAGTTCCTTATGTTCCATTCCAGAAATTTGGAGAGAAGATTATTAATACCTGCAACTTTGAAAAAGAGAAAAAAAAAAAAAAAGGAAACTTTGTGAATGTGGCAACTGCAGCTTTAAGACAAATGTTACTAGATTGCTGAAGTCTTAAATGCCGTGGCACGGCGCTCTCCTTCCCCCCAACCTGCTGCGCCGCAGCTCGGCCTCGGCCGCTCCAGGTTTGCAGCTTCAGTAACAACATCATCCCCATCGTTCTGTTTCATCTCAGTTCACGCAGGCCCTCCTGCTGACGAGGCCTCCCAAGAACCTGCTGCGCCAGCTGGCCCGCGTGTCGGGGCTGCACCGCCGGAATTACAGCCGGGCTACGGAGCTGAGCAGACGCGTCCAACTTCGCACCTGGGCAGCGATGCTGAAGGCTTCGCACCACACCTTGCCCGGCTCGCTGCGAGGTTCCCTGCGGACAGGCTGAACGCTCTGCTCACCTCAC